TCTAAACTGATATTGATTTGAAGTCTTCAATAATCAGAAGTATGATTTCTCTGAAATGTTAGTACACACAAGAGCAAAATATTTTTTTTCAAAATATGTTAGGAGAAATAATAATCAAATCAATAATATTTGGAATCATCAAAAGTATACAAGTTGTAAGAATATCAAACATGCAAAACTAAATAACAACTATCTCAACATAGTGTTCTCAATTCTTTTGGTTTTAGTTTTGGTTATTGATTTCTATTTTAGGCTGCGATAGTCTACCGAGCTGTGTTAGCTCATTCCTGCTTTTGTTTTTATTTTTAGGCCTAGGGAAGGGTAAGGAGTAAGTTGAGTAGTTGGATAACAAGCTATAATATGTGTTGTAGGTATATTTTGGTTAGTTTTGATTTTTGCACGCTTAGCTTTTATTTTTTGTTGTGCTCTTTGTTGCCAAGCACTGTAGTATATAGATTTCAGATTATATATATATATTGGATGATATATAGAAAAAAATCATGTTGAGATTCAGTAGTCTTTTGCTTTACATTACATTCAATAGTGACTCTGTGTAGTATATAAATTGGAAGTTTTGTTTTAGTACTTCTCCAACTAGATCTTGGGGTCAGTCTTGCCACAATCGGATACGGTATGACCTGTGTGATATCGAGTCATATTGGGTTGGGTTATGACAATATCAACACATAGATATAAAGGGTCAAATGCCCATGCCACCAATAAATGGTCAATATCTAAAAAAGATATCAACATAATTAAAAAACTTTATGTATGAAAATTTGCATTCTTTATAGGAAACAAATTTCAATCCCCTCCTAAATGACAAGAGGTAATTTTTATATCTGCCTGTAAGGCAGGAACAAATTTCAATCCCTTCCTGAAAGACATGAGGTAATTTTTATATCCTTCTATAAGGCAGGGAATAAATTTTATTCCCTTCTTAAAGACAAGAGGCAATTTTATATCTCGTGTAAAGTAGGAGATGTTCACTATATACACCCGTAAGGCAGGAAAACAACTTTTTAATCTCCTCCTATAAAGACATAAAGCAATTTTTATAAAATACCTCTTTGCCAAATAAAGAAAGGGAATTACAAAATTGCATATTGACTAAAGGATCCATAGTCAATTGCTAAAATTGAATCGCTCACAAACCTAAGAGTCGAGCTAGTTTCAAATAGGTTCAACAAAACTGAGGGTTAAACCTTTATAAATATTTTATGCACATAAACCTAAGCGTTGAGTTAAAATCTATAGGTTGAATAAGTCTAAGGATAGAACCTTTAAAAATTTTGCTCACAAACCTAAGGTTGAGCTAAAATCCATTAGTTTAATAAGTTTAAGGGTCAAACTTTTTTTTTTAAAAAAATTTATGCTCATAAGCCTAAGGGTCGAGCTAAAATCTACAGGTTTAATAAGCATAAGAGCCGAACCTTTAAAATCTTCTATACTCATAAACCTAAAGATCAAGCTAAAATCCATTGGTTCAACTAGCCTAAGGGTCTAATCTTTAAAATCTTTTATGGTCATAAACCTAAGGGTCGAGTTAAAATCTATTGACTCAAAAAGCCTAAGGGCCAAACTTTACAAATCTTTTATATTCACAAACCTAAGGGTCGAGCTACTTTAATTAATCTAAGGGATTGAAAGACAGAGCAAAAAGATTATGATGAATATTAATGCTAAAAATGTTTTAGAAACACTGCAACAATTCTATTATGTGAAAGTCACATAATAAATTCCTTGAGAAACAATTTGTTGATTAAAAAAAAAAAAGAGAAGAGAAGTTTTTGAATATATGCAAAGGAAGATACTTGCCTTCGAGTCCAACCCCACCTCATACGGTTCGCTCCCAAATGAAGCGACTGTTCGTTCAAAACAAAATAATTGCACACTGATGCCTTCAAAAGGACAAGCAAGAATAGTTGGGGTAAGCATTTCGACTCCTCCCCTCGCTCATCTCTTTATATTACATGTAGATAAAGGAAGCTGAAGCCCCTTCTGCCCTCACCTTTGTCGAATCTTGCCGACTGAACTGCCCGACCTTCGTACGCCTCCATCTAACGATCTAGCCGCTCGAGCCCTCTGCCCGTCTTCGCCTCCCACACCCTGACGCACCTCCGCCCGACTGACCCTAGCTATGACTCCCAAGCCCGAAGTCGACCAAACTGAACTCCCCGTGTGTTGTCTCCACTCTCACTTATATATATATATATATATTAAAAAAGAAAGAAAGAGAAAGTAGAGAGAGATAATAAAATAAAAAGAGTGAGGATAAGATTTTTAAATAGGTGTTGAAGACCTGTGTTGTCGACCATAGGTCCAACTATGAATGTTTAAATCGAAGTCCCGCTTTATGATTTTTTTTAATTTGGGCGGATGATTTTAAATTTGAAAACCCTTGGCCATTGTATATTATATTCGTCTAGGAAGAACTTTAATTAGAAGACCCTATGACGTCGATCTTACATTTGGGTAGGAAGAAATTATGGCAAATGCCATCCCAATTTCCCCCGGTGGGGAGATGATGTCGGGAGGCTGTTGAAATTGCCTTAGAAATCTAGAGGGCAATTTGATTTGAATATTGATTCAATTAAAATATTAAAATTAATTTTTAAATATTAAATAACTTATTTAGTTAATTAATATTTAATAAATATTAAATAATTAAAATTAATCAAAATAATTGATTAATTTGGGAATGACTAACATCATGAATGAAAGTTTTGAATAGATTCAAAACAAGTGAATAACTCAATATATCATCATCATCATCTTAACGATGAATTCTCTCAATCCTTTTTACATGTATTTGTGAGGAACAAGAATGAAAAGGTGAATCAAATGGGGAGTACCATAGAATGATGCATTTTTATGATGTTTGATTAGCCTTATATCTTACATTGGCAAACTGAATGAATTAGCCACATCTACTAGTATGGATAAATTCTAGAAGGAAGCATCTTAGGGATCGTAAAATTCAAGCATATAAGATAATTTCTACTAAAAGAATTTGTTATGGTTATAGCTACAAGGGAGCTGATCATAAAAAAGATATATTCAAATGTAAAATTAATTGATTAAAATTAATCAAAATAATTGATTAATTGAGATTATAGAGTTCTCTACATCTAATGTATGAGACTTGAGAAGTTGCGAACAATTATCCTGTAGATCTTCTAATGACCTTTGCAAATCATCATTGCAATTGAGTTTAGTTGAGTTGTTACTGAAATCTTACTACCAAAATTGACATAAGCTAGAGGAACAAACATGTTTTCTCTCATTTACTTTTATCATGCTTCTCATCATTCTCCCAAATATCATCCAACATAAATGAAAACTTTTTTGACATCATTTTTAGTCCAAAGACTATCTTGATGTGCTTCAAATGCCTCTAAATGAGATCTCTCATTAATAAATTCCATATAAAGAAGATTGAGTAGAAGACTTTGAATTGTTGTGTTATTTCAAATGTTATACAGCTTTGAAATATTAAAGGTCTATGGTTGTCAAAACATTACCTCTCTTCTTCACATTTCAAATGATATTCCTCTTTTAAACATTAGAGGTCTTTGATTGTCAAAACATCACCTCTCTTCCTCTAGCTAATAAAGTAACAGTGATTGCAACAAATCATTTCAAAATTAATTTATCAACTGGTTAATTTAAAAATCCAAGAACATGTTTTAAATCCGAGAGTTTTAAAATTTTGAAAACATCAAAATCCAAGAGTTAAAAAAATGAGAATAATTTAAAATTCGAGAGAAGTAGAAAATGTTGATAGCAATGAAATTTAAAATTGACTAATTGCCTAATTAATTAATTGATCAATTATAAAATAAAATATAATAAAAAGATGGGGAAAAATTCCACTAATTGACATATACAATACTACATTACAAGCTCTCAAAATTTCTAACAATAACTCAACACTAAACACAATCCCTCACAAATTCTAAAACTCTCCAAACAATTAACATTGAAACTCTCAATTACAACCACAACTCTCAACTCAAACAAAACTCTACAAAGTCCTATACAAAACTCCCACAACACAAACTGAAACTCTTAACACTCTATAGTGGCTCTCTATAACTATATGTGAGCTCCTTGAACTGCTACAAGCACTACATATTTGCAAGCAAGCGAACAAGAATCAATGCACATGAATGCATTAAATAATTGTTGGAAAATAATAAATATAGCCACTACAGGCAGAACAAAATACTGGAAGTATATAAAAAGTAACAAAACAGCGCTAAAGTAAAGTAACGAACTACTGCATAAATGAAAAGCTAGAAGAACTAAACAATAATACACAAGTGAAAAAGCTAAGGTAGGAAACAACCGCTAACAAGTGTCAAAATCACAATCTAATGTCAAACTAGCAAACAACTACAAATCCTGTGCTACTTCTAAGCGAAGCCGTAAGACCCGCTTAAATTCAAACTTATGGATAACTTCTAAACGAAGTTATAAATCCCAAAAATAAATTAATTTATGGGTATTATAATAGATGTAAACCCCAAAACCCAAATAAAATTAAATCTAAAATTCACATCTACCAACTTCAGTCTATTCGGGGTTCATGAGCGGAGGCAATCAATGGTTGCTAATCAGATTCTCTTGACACTATGACCAATGATTGTAGTGTTAGTAGACTGAAATCTATGGTATACTCAGGACGATGGAATCATGATATCTTGATTGGGCTTACCGTCATTTTCTCACAATTGAGACTAAACACCTAAAAATTATTCATCTTTAATTTAGAGTTCTCTCTTAGACATTAAGAGATGTAATTAACTATAAGTGCTTGCGCTAAATGGGAATTAAGGACCACATATCTAATTAAATCCTAATAGTACTTCTAGGGAAATTTGATTAATTGCAATCTAGCTTAAGAAAAATGGAATTCTACGGTTACAAAGTGAAATTCATACTTTCATGCTTTTTTCTTGAGCCAACATAATTAGGAAGAAATACTTGTTTATGTAATGCTACTTGTTGCAGTTCAACATATTGTGTCTAGGTTCCAAGCCCTAGCCTACATTTTTTAGGGAAGTTTGATTTCGTCGCGGCGGAGGGCCGTTCCCCGTGGTGCTATTGCCCTGCCCTGCTGATTTCGAGTTGTAAAGGAGAGCAGTGAAGAGGAGCAAATATTTCTTTAGAGAACGGAGCTAAGAAGAGTAGACAGCGGCAGGGATTGGATTTTTTTATCATCATTGTTTTGGAAAGAAGTTACCGCGGTAGGGATTGGATTGAGCCGCAAACATGTCGGGAATGGGGGACGGTTATGTGGGCACCGCCCAGGACGCTGTGCGGATAAGGAGGCTGGAAAAGCAGCGGGAGGCAGAAAGGAGGAAGATTCAGGAACTCAAGAACAAATCCGCCTCCACTGGCGGCCAGACCGGTCTCCTACAGTTCGGCTCCGGTACCTCCGAGGTAGCCTTTCTGGCCTGCTATATTTTCTCTCGTTGCTGGTGAAGTTCTCTGTCTCAGTTTCCTTAGATGTTGATAATGGCTTTCCGTAGGCTGTTTAATGCTGAGTTGAGTTCACTGACTACATTTATGTAACTTTTTTATGGACGTATCTACAAAGGCATACAACTCTTTAATTCTTTAATCTATAATTGCTTTTTATTTGTTCGTGTACTATTTTTTTAGAAATATGATAAACGGATTGTAATTATGGCGCTTTTGAGATAACGTTGGTATTCAGATAGAGCATTGTTTTCTACGAAATGCAATTGATTTTGTTCCATCTTGTAAAGTCTCTATTGTCAATGGTGATTATGGTTAATTATTTTCATTTCTTTGGTCATGAATATCTTGGCATTCAGAAATCGCCTGACTTATTATAAAATAGAGTAGAAGTATCATTAAAATAAATTCCATCATAAGATAACTCAAAGATTATTTACTTTTTTATTTTAAAAGAGGCCAGCTAGCCTAATATCTGTTTAAATAATAAGATTATATATTAGATATCAATGAACCAAATTGATTGTAGGATATCCTTTTGCATTTTTTGGCACAAATATTTAAAATTTCTTTAAATTCAAAGTTGAAATAACATATATGTATAAATGGTAAATAATAGTTGTGCTATGAAAGATGGAGGTTGAAGTGTGAGTGAGAGACACAGAGCGAGTAAGAGGGAGAAAGATAAGGCTTGATTGGATATGTGTGAAATCAGGCATCGTCTTCTTAATGTTCCAATTAGATCTATGGCGCTCAATAGATATTTGATATCAACTTTATCTTTTGTTTTCTTGCTTTTGGTTGTCCATAATTATCCTTTTGGTTCATCATGTACTAGCACCGTTCTTGTAAGTTTTCTAATTAAAATTTACATTTCAAATACCTTCCTATCATCTTGTTATTCCTTTCTATCAAAATTACAACTTGTACAACACTAAAAAGGACACTATTTAGTTGTATATGCTCAACATAATTTTTAATTTTGAGGGGTTTGCCATTATTTGTTGTTATTAATCCTATACAAGTTCTATGAAATTATGGATTCCTTTTGTTGTTATTTTCTTTTTTTTCATGTTCACTCTAAATGTAAGGTTCAATTTCATGCATCAAGCTTAGGTCATACCTCACATCATGGAGTTTCATGAATTGGTTATAGTGTTGTTCAGAAAAGAAGCTCATTGCATTTGAACTGAGTTGAAAATAGTTCATTGCATATTTAAGTTGTATTTCTATCTACAAAGCTCTTATTGCGTGTTTCTTCCTAGTACACTTTATCAATAAGAGATTGATCATCAACTCACATGAACCCAATTTGATAGGGCATCTTTGTTTTGTTGTATGCCATTGGAAGTGAACGAACCCCAACTCTACAAGTAGAACCCATTTTTCAAAGGAATTTGGTTCTCAAAGTGACATCAAATATTTGTTTTCAAGTTAGGGTTGGAGGAGTGCGCCGACAGCTAGGATGAACGGAGATGGTCGGAGGAGTCCTTCGGCTTCTGCTTGTGGATGGAGGAGTCGATCACGACTTGTTTGGAGGCATCAAAATAGTGAAATATGAATAGGGCAACGAATAGCGATACAATACATCAAAACTTCCCTATACGCGTTCGATCGTGGATGGACGATTGTGATTTGCAATAATGTTTATTATCATCAAAATCATAAAACTTGGGTCTATATTTGAAATAATCTCCAACTTTTTATGACGACTGAGATTAGAACCATCCGGTTCTTTAAAAACCGCCTAGTTCGGCAATTCTCCTGTTCAACCGAGTTTTGTACCAATTTTTAGCTGGTTTTAAAGACATCCGATTCTAGCATCAAATCGGACCGCCCACCGGACCGGTTCACCGTTGAACCAGTCAAATTGGCCGGTCCGGTCCAGTTTTGAAAACCATGGAAATAAGTTTACTAAAGAAGGACATGAACTAATAGGCCGAAAATCATCACACTTATTAGCAGCAACCTTCTTAGGAATAAGCACAATATAAGTACTAGTAAAAAAACTTAGGAATAAGATTAGTGGATTACCATTAAAAAAATCCACAATAGCAGCATATAAATCATTATAAATTATATTCCACATTTTTTGAAAAAAATTAGTAGTAAAACCATCAGAGCCAGCCATAAATGAACATTAAGAGAAAAAAATAATCTTCTTAATCTTTTCCAAGGAAGGGACTAAATTAAGAGTGTTGCTATCTTCCTCATTAATGATGCAAGGAATAAGATCAGGGAGATAAATAAGGAGAGGTTCAAAATTTTTATTAAAATATGATTAAAATGATCAACAACAGACTTAGCAATCTCCTTCTTTTTCTCAATAGTGGATAAAACTTTTAGCCCTATTCTTCTTCACCAAAGAATGAAAATACTTAATATTACTATCCCCTTCAATAAGATGTTTAGAAGAAGACTTGTTTCCAGTAAACCTCCTGCTCTTGAAGTTTAAACAAGTAATTCTTAGCCTCTTTCAGATTATTATAATTATCATCAGAAGGGCTATTCTGGCAATTAAGGTCACAAACATTAACTTTCTTCTCAACAACTAAAATGTTCGCAATAGATTTTGGAAGACATTTCTATTCCACCAACTAATTTTATACTTAAGTCATTTGAGTTTATACCATCATTGGAAAAAAAAAAAAAAAAAAAAAAGATGTTAGGATATAGAGGAGCCTCACAATTTTCTTTAACTAAATCATAAAAAAATTATCAAGCAACCACATATTTTGGAATTTGAAATTAGAAGAAGGGCCGCACTGCCTATAATTAATACCAAAATGAAGAGGAGAATGATCATAAAAAGTTTTACTTAAGTGCTCAATAAAAGTGTTATTACAAGAGTTAATCCATAACTCATTAAAAAGCGCACGATTCAATCTTTATCACATATTAACATGATTCCAAGTAAAGAAATTACTAGTGAAACCAAAATAAACTAGGTTACAGTTTATTATCATGTTGTTAAAATCTTCCATAGATTGATAAACAGGGCTTGAGCCACCAATCCTCTCAGAAGGATTAGAAATATTATTAAAATCATCACCAACTAACAAAGAAGAGTTAATTAAACCACTGAAATCAATAAGTTGATCACAAAGAACTCTTTTAGAAAAATGAGAAGAAGCATAAACAAATGATGCATAAAACTGAAACAACATAAATTCAATTCTATAATGTAAAACTTGCGTGAAATCACCAATAATATCAATTATAACCTGATCTTTCCAAAAAATCTAGATTTTGTTGGAAACATTCGTCACACAATGTTTAAAACCAAGGGATCTTCTTGTTTCATCAAGTTGGCAACAAAAATAAGAGGTTCAAGTTAAGCATGAAAATAGGCATTATGAATATGACATAAGTTTCTAACCGTAATTCTAGAAGAAGGACATCCAATACCCCTAACGTTCTAAATAATCGACTTAATCATTAATTAGCAATTTTTTAAAAATTTGAAACCGGGTACTCCTAGGAGAGTGAACATTCAAGTTTTTCAATTTTTTACTTTTCTTGCTTTTAACAATATTGAAACCATGTTCTTCATTAGCAGAATCTTTAATAGTACTATCATTAGCACAAGTATCAACATTGCAAGAAGAAAAGGTTTCACAAATTTATACCTTTACCTTTACCCTTATGTTGCTGATTATTAGCATTTTCCATGCTAAGAACACCCACGGCCATACCAATTTCCTTACTCTGTATTACGTTGTCAATTCCAAGGCTAGTAGCTCTCTCGGATATCCTTTCCTGCTCAAATTCACCTTCTTCCGTGCTGCCTTCTAAGACATTATCCTGATCATTCACAAAATTTTGAGAAGAAATGATATTAGTACATTCATCTTTATTCACAAATAAATCTAAATCAGAAGAATTTTTGTTAATATCAAATGGCAAATAAGAGTCAGTTGATATGGTATTTTGTCTAACAGTGATAGCCACCATTTGTTCATCCACATTATCAAAGTCATTAGTGACATGATTAAGAGGTTCTAGCATAACAGAAGATGGAGCAATTTCCCCTCCCTGAACCAAGAGGGGATTATCCGGTTCGGCAATATTCCCTCCATTATAACTGATCTCCTTAGTAACATCCTGTTCATCATTCACTATAGAGTAAGGAAGATTGGCAAGGTTCTCCTGGGATGAATTTCCCTCCACAAGCATATCCTGCACTGGTTTAGTAATCTCATTAGAATGAACAACATTTTTCTCCTTAGATTCTTTAGATTTTTCCTTTTGGTTACTTAATTGGGGATGTAAAATAAAATATTCAGAATTGCAATGACCATGCATTTTACAATGACTGCAAAATATAGGGATATTCTCAAATTCAACTTTTTTTTGATACTCGTTAACGTGCGATCCAATCCAAATATCTTCAGGACGTTTCTTAAAGATATCAATTTCAACTAAAACATGGGCAATTGACAGACGAGATACAAAAGCGGTAGATTGATTTGTCTGCAAGGGTCTACCAAAAATGGAAGCTAAAACAAATAATATTTGGGAATTAAAGAATGGAGCCCTAGATTAGGGAATGAAACCCAAACAGGAGCTATAGGGGATTCCTTTTTCATATCAAAGTCAGGAGTCCACTTAAGCAAACACATTTGACAACCAAGAATATAATATGCTCTTCTAGAGAAAATATGACTGTAGTCAAGATCGTTCGATAATTGAATCACAATGTGTCGTTGATCCATCAATCCAACGAAAAAACTTCTAGAAAGTTATAGATTCATGAAAAACTTCTGAATCACATCCATATTTGGGTGGAGAAACATGAACTTACCAACTAAAGTTAAAGCAGGAGCAGCTAGATAAGAAACAACTTTATCATCAAACATCAAAACAGGAAGCCTTTTAAAAGAGGTATGAATCAAATCCAACTTAGCAGAAGATGAAGCAAGGCCACCCGAAAGAACCTCTTTAAAAGAACGAGATTTGCC